GCCCCGAGCTCCCATGGCTCGGCCAGACCTGCAGCCAGCGCCCCGGGCACTTCCGCCTCCGAGGCCCCGCCCCGCCCTGCAGGGAACCGGCCTGCGGTCCAGGTCCCTGAGGGTGCGGGACCGCGTCACCTTGGCCAGAGGGGAGTTGGGCAGCAGGGGCCCAGGAAGGTCGCCTTTGGAGTCGGGGGACACGGCTTGATGGGCATCACGCAGCTTGACGGGGCAAGGGATGGGAAGCACAGGATGAAGGGTCCTGTAGAACTCTTTGGGGTACAGAGGGCTGGTGTCACGTGGTAGACAGGGTGAGGTGGGACAAAAGGCAAAGGTCACGCGGGGCAAAGGGGACACAAAGGTCATGCTGGACACAAGATGAGGTACGGAGGAGAGGGATACTTACATGGGACCCGGGTGGAGTCAGGGCAGAGGGGTCTTGCGGGACCTGAGAGAGCATGGGACTGGAGTCGCAAGGCATTGGAGGTGGGGAAAACTGTTGTAGGGGAGGCGTCATAGGATTCATGGATAAAGTAGTCCTGTCGAAGGCTTGGGGCACTCAGAAGAGTTACATGGGGCTCATTTGGGAGCAGGAGACAGAATTATTCAAGAAATGGGAACAGAACAGAGGGGCCATGCAAAACGAAGAAACATAGGGCAGCATAGATGTGAACTGGAACCCGTAGGATGTTGAATCCTGATGGCAGTAGTACAGAGTCCAGCAATAAGTAAGCCAGAATTAGCGTCCCAGAAAGGTGCTCGCTGACCTTGACTTGAACTGAACCTCCAGCTGCCCGAAGCCTCCCCCCACATCCACCGTAACCACATACTGCGGCAAAGGTATAAATGACTAAATGGAAGAGGAAGGTGTTCTTTTTGCACCCCTAAGAATTGGATAACTGAGTTTCTTGTCAGTATTGGATGCATTCCTCAGGGTACCAAAGGGATATATTCCAAACATATTACAGATATGGTTGCTAACTGAAAGCTCTACAAGAAAACTTGGGGAAGCAATCATAAGGAAGAGAAAGCTTTTCTAAGTAGGCATCCGATGAAGCAGGTAAAACTGCTTTAAAGAATATATACAAGCCAAGTGGGTGGTGGCACACACCTTGAGGAGGCAGAGACAGGTAGATCTCTGAGTTCAAGACCAGCCTGGTTTACAGAGTGAGTTCCGGGAAAGTCAGGGCTACACAGAGAAACCCAGTCTTGGGGTAAAAAAATATATAATTATATATTATATTGAGATATTTTATAAATATAAATCTATGTATTTATAAAATTTATATAATATATATATTAATTAAATTGTGCAGCCCAGGTTCCAGCCAATTCTCCCAAAGGCAATCGTGAAAACTGAGTGTGGTGTCTCTCTACTGAACTCCTAGTACTGACCAGGCTGAAAGAAGAAAATTGCCAAGAGTTCAAAGTCAGCCTGAGCTATGGATGCTAGTAAAGTTCTCCCTATATCAGTATAACCAACCTTCTCATAGAAAATGATAAAGACCAAGGTGCAACAGAATTCCTAAACTATGATGCAATTAGAAGAACAGGGCCTCCTTCTGTGTTAAACAGTGAAGCCATTTTTATCCTTTTGCCAAACAAATCAAAGATCAAAACACCTGATCTTTAAGGGAAGATGGGTCCCAGATTAGGGATGTCCCCAAGGGAGCATCTGGACTCTAAAAATAGCCAAGGCCAGCAGCCAGACTCTGTTTCCTACCGTTTGCCCTGCCTGTGTTCACTGCCATGTGCCCACTCTTATTCCGGTAGATGCACCTATAATTGGTCATTAGAGTTTGGGCATAGAATCGTGAAGGATCCACATTGAGTGGAACTGGTGGTTATGTGAGAAATGGCCAGGTGTGGTGGACCACACCTTTATCCCAGCAGTAGGAAGGCAGAGACTGGCGGATCTCTGAGTTCAAGGCCAGTGTGGTTTACAGAGAGTTGCGGGTAAGCCAGGGCTACATAGAGAAACCCTGTCTTGGGTAAAAATATAATTATATATTGATATATTTTATAAATATAAATTTATATATTTATGAAATTTATATGTTCAAATTATGGAGCACAGGTTGCTGCCAGTTCTTCAAAGGGCAATCAGAAAGAGCTCCCTATGTCAGCATCACCAGCCTTCTCATAGAAAATGATAAAGACCAAGGTGCTACAGGATTCCTCAACTATGATGCAATTAGAAGAACGGACCACCTCCTTTTGTGTTAAATAGTGAACCCATTTTTATCCTTTTGCCAAACAAAGCAAAGATCAAAACGCCTGATCTTTCAAGGAAGGTGGGGCCCAGATTAGGGATGTCCCCAGGGAGCATCTGGACTTTAAAATAGCCAAAGCCAGCAGCCAGACTCTGTATTTCCAACTGTGTGGTCCTTCCTGTGTTCACCGCCACGTGCCCACTCTTATTCCGGTAGATGCACTTATAATTAGTCATTAGGGTGGAGCTGGTGGTGTGCTGTGGACCACACCTTTATCCCAGCAGCAGGAACTGCAGAGGCTGGCCAGTCTCTGAGTTCAAGGCCAGTCTGGTTTACCGAGGGAGTTCCAGGAATACACTGAGAAAGTCTGTCTCAAAACTCCCCACCTCCCACACACACACACACAAAAAGTAAAATACTGTGATGTTTGGGAATGGCCTACCATATTCAGCAACTTCAGCTTAGAAAAAGAATGGGTAGGATTGTCCTGGCACAGGCCTTTAATCCCAGCACTGGGAAGGCAGAGACAGGCAGATCCCTGTGATTTTGAGGCCAGCCTGGTCTACAAAGCAAGTTCCAGGACAGCCAGACCTGTTACATAGAGAAACCCTGTCTAGAAAAATTTAAAAAATAATAATTATTATTGAATTAAAAATATTAAAAAGATAAATAAAACCTCGAAAGAAGACAGAAAAAGAATGAGTGTGGGTAGAAGAATGGAAAACTGGTTTTGTAAAAATTGGATTGGGGGGGAGGTCAGTGGTAGCTCATGCCTTAAAACCAGCAGGAGGCAGAGGCAGGGCCAGCCAGGTCTACAGGGTGAGTTCTAGGACAGACAAGGCTACACAGAAACCTTGTCTTCAAGGGAAAAAAGAAACTGGGTAGGGAAATTCACAGCTTGGGTTGGAAAGATAGCCCATGGGTTAAGAGCCTTTGCTGCTCTTCTAGAGAACTGATATTCACTTCCCAGCACCCACATCAGGTGGCTCCTTCCGGACCCCCACCCCAGGCCACTCCCAAATAAATAAAATATTTAAAAATGTTTCACGCCTACTTTGATATATTCAAAGATATCCTGGAAAGTCTGTGAAAGAGTTGGCATCTGGCCACCCTGCTGGGTACTTAGGGAAAGGAAACAGGTGACAGGGAACAGAAGACTGGACCATACCAGCTTTAACTTTTGAATGTTTACTTAGTAGGGGGAAGGGAGAGTTAATGGCACCGGCAATCAGGCGTTGAAGGCCAAAGAAGGGCAGGTGAAGGGTGTTGGTGGCAGAGGAAAGAAACACCCTTTGTTGCTCTGGATTCCAGGCAGAGTCCTTCTAACCCCAGCTGCAGGGGATTCCCAGGCAGTTCTCAACTTAAAGAGACAGAGGTCATTTGGGACTTTTGCCGAGTTGTGTTTTCAGCATGCTGCTGAAGTTACCCACAATCCTCATGGGCAGCAGATAAATCAGTACTACAGCTTGTTCTATTGACTATCCCAGACTGGGTTTAGAGCCACCTCATCTCTCTCTGTCTACTCCCTCCAAAGCCCTCCCTAGTGTGTCCCTGTGGAGGAGGGTTACTCTGCCTTACAGGTGGGAAGCAGACTGCAGAACTCCCTCCGGTGCCCACAGTGCCCATGTTATAGAGTTGTAGAAGGACACTCAGCCCCGGGCTGGAGTCTAAGGGCCTCTGCTGAGTAATAGCTGAGCAATGGCAGGAACTCTACCAGGAAATGTAGCTCTATTGCACTTGCGGTTAGCGAACCGTAAATGCAAAAATGTACTTTGTCATGTTGGCCTCTCAATCAACACACACGGCACAGTTCTCTGCAGGACTGTGAACTACCTTGCAACCAGAGTTTTAAGGCAAAAAGCCTGTTCCAGCAGCTTAAAAAGATGAGCAATCGAGCAGGAGAAATGGCTCAGAAGTTAAAAGCACTTCATGCTCTTACAGTGGGCCTGGTTTCAGGTTCTAGCACCCAAATGTCAGCTCACAACCATCTGTCACTCCAGATTTGACACTGCCTTCTGGCCCCTTTGGGCACTGCATACACCTGGGACACATACATTCACCCAGACAAAACACCCATACACATAAAATATAAATAAATAAATAAATAAGTTTAAGTCTTTAAAAAAAAAAAAAGAGCCGGGCGGTGGTGGAGCACACTTTTAATCGCAGCACTTGGGAGGCAGAGGCAGGCGGATCTTTGTGAGTTCGAGGCCAACCTGGTCTACAAGAGCTAGTTCCAGGGCAGACACCAAAGC